CTTCCTGGGAGCGAGGTTCCAGATTGGTTCTGCTACAAGTCGAGCATGGGTGACTCTGAGCTGTCTATAACAATACCTCCACATCGTAATTTGAAGATCCGAGGCCTAAATGCATGTGTTGTGTATGCACAGGATAAGGCTGCTGTAGAGGGATTGACATGCGTTCCCATTCTTCACATCAGTAATGAGACCAAGGGTCTTAAGTGGATCTATCGGCCAGTCACAATAGGGTTTCCAAAAGTGGAGGAACATATGTTATGGCTTAGTCATTGGCGATTCGCAAACGATGAATTGGAGGGTGGGGATGAAATACGTGTTTCAGTTAGAGTTGAACTACCTGTTTTGGTTAGAGATAAATTCCATAAGTTGACGAAGGAATTTGGAATCCAGCTTGTGTACGAGCAGAATAATAATGAGGGTACTGTAACTGAAGATATAACCACAATGTTCCAGTGTGAAACAACTACCCCTTCGAGCCAGAATCAAGTCGTTGCTGGAGATGTGTCAGCGTCAGCATCAAGGTTTCATAAAAATAATAAATTTCAGGTGGGTGAATACTTTATTTGTAATCATGATGAAAGGTGTCATTAAGGCCTACAATGGTCACTTGACCAACATTTTGAAAATATTTTCCTAAGATATTAAATTTGTGATGTTAAAATTTAATTATTATAATGAATTATTATATATATTTTCCTATAAAAACTAAATTCATTGTAATTATAAAGCTATTTAAAGTAGACCCTCCTTGATAGAATTCTTAGCTCCGCCATTGCCTATAACTATTTGAGGATAGAGAATTTGAGATAAAGAACTTAAAGCTCAATGGACTTTAAGGGAATTACATTTTAGATTAAGAAAGAAGAGACATGCGTGTAGACTCGGCAATATTGCACATGACATGAATTCGCATCAAGTTATCAGTATTTGGGTTGAGCTTAATGGATCGGGTTGAAAACGGATGAACCCGTTGGCCACCCGTTAAGCTAACGGGTCGTGTCGGGTCAATTCGCGAATATTCGCATCCACCCGTTAAAGAGAGTAATTATGTACTTTTACAAAATATATTTTAAAAAAAATATCTCATATCCTTAACACCAGACAGATGCATGCCTATTTTTTTTAAAAATTCTTTCCTCATTTCCTTATCTCTCTCTCCTTAATATTATTTTTCCTTCATTCCACTTCCTCTCTTCGTCGACTTTCTCATCTCTACATCTCTCAATCTCTCACTTTTTTCCTTTTCTTCTCCCCTTTCGGAAATTGTCCATCTCTCCATTTTCTTCTTCTTCTTCTTCTCTCCATCTCATTCTTTTCTCTCCATTTTTCTTCTCTTCTTCTTCTTCTGAGAGAGGGGGTTGCTAGCTGGTTGGGTAATAGGTTTTTTTTTTCTTTTCTACTTTATTCTTAACGGGTCGTGTCGGGTCATTCGCGAATTGTAACGAGTCGTGTTTGGGTCTAGTATTTCTCACACGTTAACTTAACGGGTCGTGTCGTGTCAACCCGTTAAATTAACGGGTTAACACGAACACGACCCAAAGCTAGTTAAAACGACCCGTTTGCCAGGTCTAATCAAAACCAAGAAATCAATTTCCATTCTTGTTGGTTCGGTTGCCCAGACCTAGTGGTAACCAATTGGAGCCGGAGATTCTTTCAGTTGGCGGCCATGATGGTGTAAGTCCTGCAAATTGAATCACGAGTCCTTCATTTGTGCCTGTCAAATATACCTAATGAATAATCGCCAATCACATTGTGTCATGCATTTGTGTTCATAAGTCCATAATCATCTCTTTAATTATTTAATCTCATTAGATAATTAACTTAAAATCTAATTCTAAAATTTGTTATTGGATAATATGGGCTTAATTTCAATGAAACATTTATTTCAAACAAATAAACAATTTTCACGAAAGAATGAAAATACTTTGTCATTTAGTGAAATGGGGCAAAACTGCAATTAACAAAGTTTTGGGTAAAACTGTAATTTTTCAGCAATTGCATAAACAACCCCTAATTTACAAAAATTACATTAGGACCCCAAAAGGGATCCTAGGGTGGAGCTGGCCACGTAGGAGAGAGTGTGTGTGTTGATATTTTGAAAAAGATGGTGTGATTTTCGAACCACACAAACTTACTCAAACTTTTTTCAGTACTTGGACATTCATTTGTGCTAATATGTCAAGAGCCCAAATTAATAATAAGGGGTTATAATGAAGAGGTCTTTATTAGCCGTCGGATCCATTGCAAAAAGCCATTATTGGACGGTCAAATTGAATCCCTCACTTTTGAATATGTATTCCTTGTTGTGGGTCTCCTGTGTGGGCTGTCAAAAGCCTAAATAAAGTGAAAGCTGGGCTCGGGCCGCCTGTATATATTTACTCTGTTTTTTTGTTTTTGTTTTGCGTTGCCACGAGACGATTTTACTGCCCCAGCTGACCGCAAGGTAAGAATCTAAGCTTTGAATGCTTTTCATCATTCATCTGAAGTTATGTTTGATTCTGTAGTATTTGATTGCAATTACAACTGGGTTGCTGTTTCATTTTTCTTTTTAGATATCTTTTAATACAACTGTTGTGAAATTATTGCAAGCGCACAATTCACATAAGTAATATAGAAATAAGTAGAGTATCGTTCCCACGAAGACTGTAATTTCCTATTAACTACCAATTATGATTAATTCAAAAGTTTATCTGAACAATTGATTAAGAAGATTGATTGATTTAAGTAAACTAAAACAATTATGAAGAATAACAATTTAATTAACGATGGAAAATCAAGTTTGATTAGACACTAGAGCATCCGATTTCACCATAACCAATTCCACTTAATTCTTTTAGCCAATTAACCCTAATTACTATCCATGTTGACAGTTGGTTTCTCCTAATTCATTCGATATCCCCTCTCGGGCTCAACCAAAAGTATTCTTAATTAACAACCCATTCTCTCTCGAGCAACAGATTTAGAAAATCAAGAACCCATTAAGTTCTATGAGAACCTGCAAGAAAACTGCATGAGTCATGTTAGTCCCTCTCGGGCACTCATTCAAGTCATGGTATTTGTTACAAGAAGCAAACACCAAACATCTCCTCTCGGTCTCCGCTTGGATCATTGGGAAGATATGGTGGAAAAGATGACGGTCAAGAACCCCCGGCTTTTAGGTGAAAGGTTTATATTTATAGGCCACGGGAATCCTTTAAAAATAAGGAAGATAATATTTATTTAGAAAGGAAAGGAAAAAATAGGAATATTAGAAAAACCAAATCCTATTCTCAAAAGGAAATAACATGCGGCTTCAATTGAAAGAAGGAGCTTTGGGTTTTAAAGGAAAAATAGGAAAGAATGCTCAATGGTCCAGCCGATATCCACGCTTTGCTCCAAAAGTAGCTGATGATGGCAGCTCAATCAAAAAGGTAACCAGCAATTGTTTCACAATTGCAAAGCCAATCAGCTTTTAATGATGACAATAATGAATTCTCATGCATGTTGCTTTCTTTCCTTCCAGACCATCTGTTTATTTTGACATCTAACGTCTCAGCAATTGCTTAGAAGATGCGACCCACCATTTCTACAATATCAACAATCAACGTTGGGTTCTTCTTCATGAGAAAGGCAGCAATGTGATGGTAAGCTTCTCTAGCTCAATCTTTCTGGCCCTGGTCACTGAGACCAGTTGTGGATATAAATTGACACTTGCACAGATGCACTTCAGGTGTTTGATGAAATGACAGAGTGAATTCTTGATATTTTGTTGAGTTGATAGTTCCACCCATTTGGATCCCTTAAGCTTCCAAAATTATAGTTTTTGCTCCAAAGCCTTGCTAAGTATGATTTCCTACAAAATCTTCACCAAGCACATTAAACTAACCAATTTCACACGAAAACTATGCAAATAGAGATAGATTATATATGCAAAATATGAATCTATCAACAACCCATCTGGGCAGAAGCTTTTGTTCTCTGATAATGTTTCTATAATGTTTCTGTAGTATTTGATTGCAATTACAACTGGGTTGCTGTTTCATTTTTCCTTTTAGATATCTTTTAATACAACCCATCTGGGCAGAAGTCTTTTTTGTGCCCCTTAATGTTTCTGCTTACTAAAATTAAGTCTAGTTTTGTAGTTGTTTAAAAAGCAATGAGAAGTTTGTGTGTGTGGTTTTAGCAAATCAAGCAAACTGTGTTCATTGATTAGTTTGGCTCAGAGTTACAAAATGTATATTCTGATTGTTTAATTCTCCAGTCTACAGGCCGGGAACCTCGCCTGTGTTCATTTGACATCTGTTCTTATTATTCATTTGTATAAAGAACTACTGTGCTTTTGTTTTCTGATTAAGAAAGCTACATAGGCTTCTGTAAACTATTTTGGATGTTTAATGTTAGAGCTATCTGTAGAAAAACTCAAACATTTTCTGTTATTTCAGGGTTTGCACAGTTTCCTAAATCAAGAGATGATAAAAGACTTGGACGAGTTGTATGATATGACTGATAAATATACAGATAGATGGCTCTCCTCAGGTATTTGGTTTTATAATGTCCCAGCTTCTAGATTTTGGTATCTTTGCTTTTTTTTTCGTGATTGTTGTTCATCGGCCTATAAGCTTCTGGTTTACTGCTTTGAATACTTCCCTCTTCCTGGTGATATATATATTCCACAAGTCCTGGCCTTTTTTCCAGTCTTCTAAACTGCAAAAATGAATAAATACTATTAACAATTAAGGGGAAGCAATCTGATTGTATAAAAATTGATTCATTGTTATATTAGTAGATACTGGAAACCCATTGCTAAGCAAGCTGAGATTAATGTTTGGTGGTTGGTGTAAGTTCGCCAACTTTGTTTTACTGAGGGTATCCTGAATCAGCATGGAAAATATTTCGAAATACTTTCTATGAATGAAAAGTTGGAACACAATTATTGAAAGGTCTATTACCAAGTCATGCTAATAGTTTACAACTCATTGCTCCCATTTTCCTATAACTTGAACTCTTTGTGGTTATTCCACTTCAAGACACAGTGTGCAACATGCAAATGAATTTCTTTTATTGAGGACTGTTTTTTTTTTTTTTGTTACTGTGAAATAAGGTTTTCTGATTAATAATTTTGTGGTATGTGAACCCAAAACAATGCTTTCTCTTTTTTGATGGGAAAAAAAATTAGGAAAGCAGACGAAACGGATTATCGAGAAGATGTATCCATTAAACTAGACAAACTTATACAACCATGGTGGGAATGGAGCTACCAGAAAATAAGGAAGTTAGCATGAATGGTTTGCTAATTCGTACAGAATTGAGCAGTCAAACAAGAGTATTTTTGGTCTTTCATAAGATCCACTAGTGAAAAGAATACCCCCAAGGAATGTAATGGTGTTGGCTTTGATTGAATGAACAATGCTATGGGAAGGGAACAGATTCAAAATCCCTGTCAACTATCAAGCAGTTAGTCCTCCCTATCAAACAAACCGCAAAGGAAAGAAGAGTACTTATTGTATCACTATGGCAGGATATCAATTTAATTCCCCATTCTTCATTATACATTGCCAAAAGAGACACATAAACGAAGGTATATGATGAAAATTTCCCTCTTAATGATGCGTCTTTAATTTAAATTGAAAAAAAAAAATTAAAATGTCCTGAAATTATTAGCAGATATTAAGCACAAGGGCATTTTAAAAAGTTAAACATGTTAACCCAAAAATATTACATCTTATTCGGCAACAGGCTGTAATCTAGGAAAACAAAGACGTTTTTGGGTGTGTATGTGATTGCATGCGTGCCAATATGCAGCCGAAGGCCGAGTGCACAACAGGTGCTGATAATGCACGGGATATGAACTTCAAACATTCTCGGCCGTAGGTTTTCCTACAAAAAAGGGTACGTGCCAATCAATCTTAGACGAGTAGCATGAAAACTCTTGATGCAGCGGCACTCCAGCAAGGACGTTGAAAAACACGAACCATCAAGCCCCATTTGGTCTAAGAATACTCGAAATTTGGCATAAAAATAGGATAAAATACTCAAAACTTGTTAATTCTAAGAATACCCAGATTATGAGCAAAGTTGAGAGAACAGTCTCTTTGTTTTCAATTGCAATTATCAACAACTAGTTCATTGAGACTTCATCTTTGATGCCTCTCGTCCCATACATTGAATTAGCACCTAAATTAATTAATCCCATTAATCCAAATACATTAAGCCTCATCCAAATAATGACGACTCTAACTATTCCAAGTACATGGAACTTATTAAAAGCCAAATAACTCTAGTTATTTCACACACATGGAATTTATTAAGAGCTAAAACAAAATATACACGCATTGAACTTAATATCCCTTTGATCCCACAACTCCATAAATTTTAATGGCTCCTTATCTGCATCATTCTCTCCGTGTTGGAGAAAGTTCACCCTCGAATTTATGCTTTCTTGGATGAAAATCGTGAACAATGATTGTTTGTCTTCAAACTGAAACCTTCCACTCCAAAGAAATAAATATTTTAAATATTTGAATATTCTCCAATTGCGAAAAGTCTTCACGGCCAATCTCTCAACTTGGATATTCTGCTTATCAATCTTCATCCAATTTATGGTATCAAACAAAATGCTTACACTACGATAACTAAAGTTATCAACCCCAATGAAATCAATATATTCAATAATTTCGAAAGTATCATGAGAATTGAATAAAATGATAGGATCATCGGCAATTGCATCATGAAGGTTGACATAATTTTCAACAACTTCTTCAATGCATTCCATATGTTTCTCTTTTGTGTCAAAAACTTTCTCAACCGCAAAAGAATAATCACAACAAAACTCACAAGAACCATATGAACATCGATCAAATACCAGAGGAGATCTAGATTTAATAAATGATCAAATGTATAATCAACAACGCTAACCATTTCTGATAACTGCTGATGCTTTGACTAACTAGTTCCTCCCCAGGATTTCAGTTTTGCAACTGAATCCCACTCTGATACCAATCGATGCAATGAGATTCAGTCGCAAAACATAAATCCTGTAGGAACTAGTTAGTCAAATCTGCATCAACGGTTATCAGAAATGGTTAGTGTTGTTGATTATACATTTGATCATTTAATAAATATTTGTGTAAACCTCCCACCATCAATCGCTTGTACTAATAAATAAATAAATAGGTAGTTTTATATATGTAAGCATGACTTAAAAGTGTGTCATCATTTTTGTTTCTCTCCTCCTTATTTTTTGGGTCATAATATCTCTCCTCCTTCTAGTAGTCACTTTTTAACAAATGTCACCATCCTAACTAATGAATCGATCCATCGTATTCATATAATGTAATTATGATGTAACCTTCGTATATACATTGAGAAAAATAATCCTCCCTCCCCTTATCCCCTATTCTCTCTTCCTCATTTTGGGTTTCCCCTAGCCTTGACTATGGTAAGGCTCAGAATGGTAGTTTAGGTTTGATTGAATAGCTAAGAATTTTAGTTTGGAGTTTAATCTGTGGGCAGCAAATTGATTAAGATGTCAGCATCCGATGTGATACTGTTGCAAGTGTCGACAAAATTGATTATATATTGTTCTGATTTCTCTGTTGTTGTTGATATAAAACTCTTTTTCTTCTTCTTTTTTGTTGGCT